CTCCCCCTGTTACTGCGCCTGCAGAGGCCCTGCACACCTTCACGTTAGACTCCGGCGCCTTGCGCTGTTTCTTTCGTGACAGCACCACTCTCACTCCTCTTCCTGCACCTGTTCCGGTCAAACTGGCTGACCCCTCTGGGGGCCCGGTCGTTGCCAGTTCCTCCACTGTCCTCCCGTGTCCGGCGGTTCCGACCGGCTCACTGTCACGTCTTCACCTCCCCTCGTTCTCTACGAACTTGGTGAGTATCGCTGCCCTTCAGGATGCGATGGTCACTACCACCACTCCTGGGGGTCAGCGTGTGTCGATCTGCACGTGCACGCGGACGGGGCGTCACCTGGCTACGTTCACTCGTCGGCCAGGGTCGAGTCTGTACACACTGGCTACCGAGCCTCCTCAGGTCGCTGCGTCTGCTCAGGTGACCGCGTCAGGTCAGGTAGCCGCCTCTTGCTCGTGTCGCCTCCTGTCGCACCAGACTCTTCTTTGGCACCACCGCCTTGGTCACCCCTCCCTGCCACGCCTTCGTGGCATGCACTCCCGTCTCCTTGTCTCTGGTCTTCCCAGGTCTCTGCCTCCCCTGCCGCCCTCGCCTGCCCCACCCTGTCTTCCCTGTGTCGAGGGACGGCAGCGCGCCGCTCCTCACTCCTCCTCGTTTCCCCCGACGACTGCTCCCCTGCAGACCCTCCACATGGACGTGTGGGGCCCAGCCCGCATCAGTGGACAGGGCCGCGAGCGCTACTTTCTGCTGGTAGTTGACGACTACACGTGATACACCACAGTCTTCCCCTTGCGCAGCAAGAGTGAAGTCTCTGCTGTCTTGATCCCTTGGATCCGCACAGTCCGTCTCCAGCTGCGTGAGCGTTTCGGCCAGGACCTTCCTGTCCTGCGTCTGCACTTTGACAGAGGTGGTGAGTTCTCCTCCGACCTCTTGCGGGACTTTTGTCGTGGGGAGGGCATCACCCAGTCGTTCACGCTTCCGGACTCCCCTCAGCAAAATGGGATTGCTGAGCGCCGCATTGGCTTAGTCATGGAGGTCGCTCGTACCTCCATGATTCATGCGGCCGCTTCCCAATTTCTGTGGCCGTTTGCGGTCCGGTACGCTGCGCATCAGCTCAACCTTTGGCCCCGTGTCTCCTTGCCAGAGACCTCGCCCACACTGCGTTGGATGGGGAAGGTTGGCGATGCGTCGGTGTTCCGGGTCTGGGGTTCTCGTGCCTTTGTTCGCGATACGTCCGCGGACAAGCTCTCCGCTCGCGCTATTCCCTACGTCTTCCTTGGCTTTGTCCCTGATGCGCCTGGCTGGCAGTTTTACCACCCCACCTCGCGCCGTGTCCTCCCTTCTCAGGACGTCACGTTCGACGAGTCGGTTCCCTTCTACCGTCTCTTCCCCTACCGCTCTGCCCCTTCCCCGCCCCCGCCGCTCTTCCTTGCTCCCGGTCCGCCTCCGGTAGACCCCCTCCCGCCCCAGGGTCCTGCTCCCTCGGGAGTGTCTCAGGTAGACCCTCTCCCTGGTACTGCGCCTGTTCAGGTAGCTGTCGTCTCAGGTGCTGCTCCAGGTGCTGCGTCTGGGGGTGCTGTGTCTGGGGGTGCGCAGCCGGGGGGTGCGGGGTCTGAGGGTGCTGGGTCTGGGGGTGCTGAGCCTGAGGGTGTTGAGCATGGGGGTGCTGAGTCGGAGGGTGCGGAGTCTGAGGGTGCTGATTCGGAGGATGCGGAGCCTGGGGATGCTGAGCCTCGGGGTACTGCTTCATCTGGAGGTCCTGCTGGTGCTTCACCGCGACTGTCCTCGCAGCAGCTGCGTGAGTGGCTTGTTCAGCGCGCACACCGTCGGAGTGGGGCTCCCGGAGCTGGCGAGCCTGGAGGCGCTGGAGCTGGAGGTGCTGCTGTTACTACTGGAGTTGGAGACCCTACGGAGCCTGGAGCAGCTGGCGCTGGAGGCGCTGGAGCTGGTGTAGCTTGAGTTGGAGGCCCTGGCGCAGGGGGCGCTGGAGGTTCAGGAGCTGGAGCTGTTGACCCTGGAGCTGGAGGTGCTGGAGGCACTGTGCGGCCGCGCCCGTACTTCGTTCCCCTGCTTCAGCAGTTTCTTGGTGTCCCGTCTTCTACTGGTCTTCCTCCTCCCTTCCTGTGTCCACTGCCTGACCAGTCGCAGCCGCCGTTACAGCCAGCCTCCCCACTGCCTGTTCCCTCTCCTTACACTGAGCTGTCCGGAGATCTTACAGAGCGTCGTGAGCCTGCGTCTCGTCCTGTCTCGCCTGTTCGCACTGCTCGTCGTGCTCCTCGTTCGCGTCCTCCTCCTGTCCCAGGCACACACACCATGGCACTCCGTCCTTCCTCAGTTCCACTGCGTGTTCCTCTGCCTGCTCCTCCTGAGTCCTCTCTTCCTGCAGTCCCTGACCCTGAGTCTGACCGAGCGCGTGCTGCCAGTCCCACAGTCGCTCGTCTCCTTGCCACTGCTGTCACTGACCGGTCCTTTGAGTCTGCTGCTGCTTCTGCTCTCGTTGCTGAGCTACTTGACTTTGCTGCTGCCTGCCGTCTCGACTACGCCTCTGCTCTAGTTGCTCAGTCTGTGCCTGCCAGTCCTCCGTCCGTCGGGGGTGAGTGTGCTCTTAGCACGGACGTCCTTGAGGACAGGCAGGAGGACTTTGAGTGTCTTGCAGCTGCTGTACCTCGTTTCGCCTCCTTGCTGCTTGCTCCTGAGGGAGACCCGGATGCTCCTGACATCCCGACCCCGCGCTCTTACGCAGAGGCGATTACGGGTGCTTACTCCTCTCAGTGGCAGGCAGCAATGGATGCCGAGATGGCATCCTGGAAGTCCACAGGCACTTACGTCGACGAGGTTCCCCCACCTGGGGTGAATATAGTCGATGGCATGTGGATCTTCAGGGTAAAGCGGCCGCCGGGTTCTCCGCCTGCCTTCAAGGCGCGCTACGTTGCTCGAGGTTTCAGTCAGCGACAGGGAGTTGACTACTTCCAGACCTTCTACCCCACCCCGAAGATGACTACTCTTCGGGTGTTGCTGCACGTAGCTGCTCAGCGTGACTACGAGTTACACTCCCTGGACTTCAGTACTGCTTTCCTGCAGGGCAGCATGCACGAGGAGATCTGGCTGCGCCGACCACCTGGTTTCACTGGGTCGTTTCCTACAGGTACCCAGTGGAGCCTCCGCCGGCCAGTCTACGGTCTCCGCCAGGCGCCTCACGAGTGGCACGACACACTCAGGACTACACTTGCGGCTCTTGGGTTTGTTCCTTCTACAGCAGACCCGTCGCTGTTTCTACGCACCGACACCTCGCTGCCGCCCTTCTACGTCCTAGTGTACGTCGACGAACTCGTCTTTGCCACGGCTGACACTGAGGCACTGACCCTAGTGAAGTCCGAGCTGTAGAAGAGACATACCTGCACTGACCTGGGTGAACTGCGCAGCTACCTTGGCCTGTAGATCACCCGGGACAGAGCACGGCGCACCATCACACTGACTCAGTCACACATGGTGCACCAGGTCCTTCAGCGCTTCGGCTTCCAGTACTCCTCGCCACAGCTCACTCCTCTGTCTACCAGCCACTCGCTCTCAGCTCCACCTTCGGACGAGTCCGTAGAGCCAAGTGGTCCGTACCCAGAGCTTGTGGGTTGCCTCATGTACCTGATGACTTGCACTCGACCTGACCTCGCGTACCCTCTCAGCCTTCTGGCTCGCTACGTGGCTCCCGGTAGGCACCGGAAGGTGCACTGGGATGCTGCGAAGAGGGTACTGCGTTACCTGTGCAGTACGTCGAGCATGGGGCTTGTGCTTGGAGGACGGGGTCCTGTTGTCCTCACTGGTCACGCAGACGCTTCCTGGGTTGACGACTCAGCTACGCAGCGGTCGTCGCAGGGTTACACCTTCAGCCTTGGGTCCGGCTCGGTTTCTTGGCGATCTACCCGCTCGTCTTCAGTTCTCAGCTCCAGTTGTGAGGCTGAGATCTACGCCGGAGCCATGGCTGCTCAGGAGCTACGCTGGCTCACCTACTTGTTGACCTACTTGGGAGAGCAGCCTCGTTCTCCTCCAGTCCTGTACGTAGACAACAAGGCCATGATGGCCTTTTGTCAGGAGCACAGATTGGAGCACAGAACGAAGCACATCGCTCTGCGATACTTCCTTGCTTGAGAGTTGCAGCAGCGTGGTCAGCTTCGTCTAGCGTACATGGCCACTTGGGCCAACACTGCTGATGTCTTCACCAAGGCACTTCCGCCTGGTGACCATCAGCGCTTTGTTACTGTGTTAGGCCTTGTGCCTACGTTGCCTCACTTACTTACTGCCTGACTCTGCCTGTACTGTGATCTATCTATATACCTGCATGCTTGCACTTGTTAGGGTATGATCACTGTATTGTTTGTTCTCTTTATATAACTCTGCATGTGAACTGGCCTTGTGGCCCTTTACTTGTGCTCGGACTGTGTGGTGACTTTGTGATCCACCCTGAGCTTGCTTTGCTTTGCTTCTTCTCTTGACTGGTCTTGTGACCATTGCTTGTTCTGGCTATCCCCCACTTCGCCTATGGGGGTGTGTCAAACATATATGCTTAGTTATATCTAGGCTTTGTTTATGTGTTTATAGTTGTCTAGGCTATAGTGGGTTTAGCCTTAGGGGGTACAAATTTCTCTCGACATTCTACTTGTACCCCTTCCCCTTTTCTTAGTCCATCATTCTCGCCTACTATTCTCACACTCTGCTGTGGTGCAGTTCCTGACAGGGATTGGCTTGGATCTCCAGAAGATCTCTGCCATTTCAACGGACGGCGCTAGTGTCATGACAGGCAAGAACAACGGGGTTGTCGCCCGTCTGCGCATGAGGATCCCGCACCTCGCCTCCACGCACTGTGTCGCTCATCGGTGAGTGTCTCTCCGTGCACTCGGTGGGAAAGCGATGCACCATTTTTAACTTCATTACTCACAACTCGTACTTTGTGTATTTAGCAGGGAGGCTCTGGCCGCAAGCGGTGCCGTGGATGCTGTGCCAGAACTTTACATGGTTGACGACGTCATCCGTGGCTTTGCAGATCTCATCTCGCGATCCAACGTCAAGTACGAGAAGTTTCATAACATTCAGCATGTTTTCTGCAAGACGAACCTGGAGGCACAAGGGATACACACCGTTCGCTGGCTGTCACGTGGTGAGGCCGTCCGACGCTTCCTCGAGATCCTGCCTGCAGCCATCGTGGTGCTCAAAGAGTACAACAATGACTTGTACGAGATTGCCACGTCGTTCAAGTTTCAGTGGTTGCTCCGGCTGCTTGCTGACGTGTTGTGGGAGCTGAACCATCTGAACCAACGGTTCCAGCAACGGCAGGTAAACGAATCTGAATTTCATAGACTACTTACGCCCAGGAAGGATTGTCGCTAACCCTGTCTTCTGTGCTGTCTGAACAGACCGACGTCACGCTCGTGTCTCATCTCGTGGACCAGACACGAATGCGCATGAAGAACCGGTACTTAAACTTTTCGCTGGATCATCACTTCGGGAGTGGAGAGAAGATGACACTGAACGACTTCATTCAGCGCCATCAGAAGATGGACAAGCGGGAGGTGAAGGCAGAGGGCGTGGACAGTGACGGCAACCCCGTGAAATTCAGCTACACGCTGCACGAGAATCCCATCGAAGGGCAGGAGCCGGACGGAGATGTAACGGCTTGTTTCGAGCTGTCGCTGAAGTTTGTGCGTGCTGTCGACAAGGAGCTGGAGTGGCGGATGAAGGACCTGGAGGAGCTGGAGGGGTGTAAGCTATTTTGGTCAGCCTCATACGTACTTGACGACGCCAAACGTGTGGAAAACTTCAAAAAATGGCTGGCTAAACTGCACAAGCTCTACAGGAAGAAGCTTCCAGGTATGCTCGTAGACCTCATGGTGTGTACCTGACTGTTGTTTTCCCGTTCCCTTCAGCGTTGTTTTCCCATCTGCTTCTGCTTTATTCTGTCGTAACGATCGGCACACTCTCATATCTTCTCGTCTGGTCGCTTGTGTATCTCCTGGATTGTTTTGTTTAATCCTCCCGGTTGCTGCGAGTATAGCCCCGTTTAAACCCATACCCGTACAACAGGATTCGACTACACCAGAGCACAGAGCGAGCTCTGGATGTTCACCTCAACAATGTACTCTCAACACAACAACGAGGACTTTCACCAGGCACTCGGGAACATGCTTCGTGACAACGACTGGCAGCACTCGTTCCCGAACTTGATGAAGATGTGGTAGGCAGTAGCCGTCCTACCGCTGAGCACGGTCGAGTGCGAGAGAGGGTTCAGCAAGCAGAATTTGATCAAGACGTGGGACCGTGGCAGCATCTCGGACATCACCCTGGAGCATTTGATGCGCTGTTCCCTGCTGCAGTATGACGTGGACTGGTACGAGGTGGTGTCCATCTTCAGGGGAGAGAGGCTGCGGAGATCGACTAAGGACTTCAGTGGCACAAACCCGGGCGAGGCTATTTTCGCTGAAGCCGTTGTAGAGTCCTCTGACCCTGTTGGCGAATGAGTAGTAGCTGCAGGTGCTGGAATGTGTGCAAGGGCTTATGTAGCTGGTGCATTGCACATTGTGATTATGTAGTTAATGTAGTGTGAACTCATGGGGTGAAAATAGACTTGCCGGTTAAATCAGTGTAAGGCCAAAATTAGTATGACGGTTTCAGCGTAACAAAGATTTTACCCTGCCTTCGTCAGGGCAAAAAACAAATTACCCTGCCTTCGTCAGGGTAATTTTTTTTTTACCCTAGAGGTCATACTGGTCTACACCTACAACCCTGATTACAAAGTGTGCCCCAAAACGAATCTGAAGCTCTGCTCTCCACGCTCAACTCTATCGAGTTATTTCTTCATCTAGACGAACTTTAGCGAATACATTCCGAGAGCCCTACATCAGCTGGTTTGACTTAAGTAATAGGAATAGGAATATATTATGATCTTAATCATTACATACAAAACCAAACTGAGAATGCGCCTAAACTAGCCAACGACCGTTTGGCGTACGTTATGAACATGTTATTCCCCTATCCTAGCGGACAGCCACCAGATTCGCTGGGAAATACTCTGTGACAAGCCAAAAACAAGTTAAGGGGGACGGAAAGGGTTTCCGAGTAGCCAAGAGTGTCAGAATAACTGTGCAGGAATGATTGGATTAGCAAGAGTTGGGGTACAAGTACTAACCCTAGAAGTGATGTACCCCATAAGGAGTGCCCCACTATAACCTACAAGTAAGATTGTACTTTGACACACTCCCCATGCACAAGCAGCCCACCATCACTGCCATCACCACCTCCTCCACTGGTTACGTGGCTTGCATGCCCTCCTCTTACAGCTTCAGCAGCCAAGCGCACAGCCGCCTCCTTCCATGGCAGCACCAGTGTCTCCCACATAGACTGGTGCATGTCCTTGCCGCCTCGGAGGTCCCACAACACGCGCCCATCCAGAGTTGCCTTGAACACCTTTGTGCCCATCATCTCCATCTTCATCCCTGCCTCACTCAATGACTTGGTAGAGAGAAGGTTGGCACATAGTCCAGGGACAAGAAGAACACGATTCAGCCCCACAAGCCTCCCATCCGCACCCATAAACATGACTCTCCCCTCGCCACGCACGGGTACAACTTGGCTGGTGGCTGAAACAACGGTGGCTGCCATTGATGGCCTGACTTCATCCAGCAGATCCTCTCGGTTGGTCATGGTCATGAAGGCTCCCGTGTCGATGACCCAATGGGAGGAACGGTGAAGAGCAACCTTGCTGGCCGGTACAACCATGTCCTCGGAGCATGCCTCTCCTACATGGTAGAACATGCCGCCATGTCCGCCGGCACCTCCATTCACCTCCTCACGGCCCATGCCTTCTCCAATAGCTCCATGAACACCCTTAGAGCCTTCAATTGATGGCTGACCAGGCCTCCAACCGTCAGGTAGCCTGTAGCACTTAAACCATGGGTGACCTTCCACATGGCAATACCAACACTTGCCGCCACACCGCTTGCCTCCCTTGTTGCTACGCTTCCCTCCCGAATACTGCTCCCCTCCAGAGCCTTCTTTGGCCTTGCCTTTCTTGCTGCCACGTCCCTTGAAGCCTTTCATGCCGTAGGCAGAGCCTCCATTTTCACCAGCAGCGGCAGTCAGCTCCTTCCTTCGAAACTCCTCTTGAAGGACTTGAGCACGGATCCACTCAAGGGACCATGAGTCCTTCATGCCATTGAGGTTGACCACCAAGGGGCCCCACGACTCCGGCAGCAGTGAGAGAGCCTTGTAGCACTTGATCTTCTCAGGGTAGTCCACACCAGCAGCTGAGAGCTTCACATAGAGGTCCCGGAGTTGATCGAACGCTCCTTGCACGGCATCACCCTCGTTGATCTTCACCGCATGGAGTTGTCGCTCGAGCACCACCACCATCGCTTCGCTGCTGGGGGCATAGACATCCTTCAATGTTTTCCATGCCTTCGGACCACACTGGATATCCTTGATAAGATGCTTGACATGGTGCAGCTGGTTGGATGAGAGGCATTGAGAGAGAAGGAAGAATCCATCCTTGGATCGGCGATCCCATTCCTTGGTCGCTCCTTCGCTCGCAGGCCTCTTCAATTCTCCATCCATTACTTCAAGCAGCCCATAATGGTTAAATAGGAGCTCCATCCTGAAGCTCCATGATGCTCAATCCTCCCCAGAGAACTTCTCTAGGTTGAATGCCTTCACATCATCCTTGGCTGGTGTTGAAACGGATGCTATTGGTGCAAATCCGCCTACAACGCCTCTTCCTGCTTCCCCAGCGCCTCTCACGCCACCACTGCCACTAGGACCAGCTGGAGCAGAACCTTCAGCCTTCATATTGAGCCACGAACATAGAATAACCGCTCTGATACCACTTGTTATAGTCTAGAGTCCACTTATGGGTCGCGGATGCCCTTGAAACCGCCTAAGCAGAATCTGATGACTTCGAACCGCCTCTGTTCAAAACGCCGTCACGATCAGCTCCAAAAACATACGAGGCTGATACTTGGAGACAAGTTAGCTTCAGATGTCTGCTTTTCAATGGTATATTGCTTGCTTTCATCAGAGGTGTATGCTCAGATGAAAACGTGTAGTTTCATTGATGCAAGGAAGAGGTGAGTACAACATTGCCTAGGGGACTCTCAAGGGGTTGGGACCATCCTGTGAACTCAAAGAAGGTTGAGTCATAGGGGAGAAAGGCTAGAGAAGGATGGGAAACGTCCTATCTAGGTCAGCAAAGCCAACCACACTTGGATGTTCAGAGCTGTACTCAAGGCTACCAATAGTGAGTCAAGCCAACCATGAGTCAGCTTGTCTTCCCACTTGCACCCTCTTGCAAGCTGCTTCCAGGAAGACCACACTTCTCAAAAGGAGGGTGGTAGAGTCCCACTTGACCACCTGTACTTCTTGTCTAATTCTCTGTCCTTGCACCATTGGCATGACAACAATGAAAGGGTGGCAAAGGAAATGCTGCCAACAGTGCACCATGACTACTGAACGGTAACTTTCGACAGCTGTCACGTGCTTCTCCGACGCTGGGTTGTCCTGAAACTCGGTGACCATCTGCACAACTTGGCAAAGGATTAACACACCAATTTTCAGACCAATCAGAGTTTGGTAGATGAGGCAGCAGCCGAAATGGTGAACTCGGGTGTTACCAAAAAAGAGTAACACACACTTCCGGGATGCCATAAGTCTTGAAACTAAAAATGTTGCCATGCCTTGTAAACTGCTTCAAACATTCTGAAATTTTGAGGGTCTGAAGAACAAATGTTGAAGCACCTCTCCACATAATTCCAGAAGCTGAACAGGCTTGTAGGCGGAATGGGAGTGCGATGACCGTGCCACTACAGTGCTTTGGCACAACAAGTCTGGGAGCGTGAGCCTCGGGGTACTGCTTCTTCTGGAGGTCCTTCGGGTGCTTCGCCACGACTGTCTCCCCGCCCGGAGCCTCTCTCCCTGCAGCAGCTGCGCGAGTGGTTTACTCAGCACACACGCCTTCAGAGTAGAGCTGCCGGAGCTGGAGACTCTGCCGCTGGAGACACATGAGCTGGAGGTGCTGGAGTTACTGCTGGAGCTGGTGGTACCGGAGGTGCTGCAGCTGCTGGTCCTGGAGGTGCTCGTACCCAGGGTACTGGAGCTAACGGGACTGGTGGTGCTGGAGGCGCTAGAGCTGGAGGCACCGGCGCTGGTGGCGCTGGAGCTGGAGGAGCTGGAGCTGGTGGCGCTGAAGCTGGAGGCACTGGCGCGGGAGGTGCTGGAGCTGGAGGAGCTGGAGCTTTTGACCATGGAGCTGGAGGTACTGGAGCTGGGGGTGCTGGTGGTACTAGTGCTGGAGGCACTGTGCAGCCGCGACCGTACTTTGTTCCCCTACTTCAGCAGGTTCTTGGTGTCCCGTCTTCTACTGGCCTTACTCCTCCCCTCCTGTGTCCCCCGCCTGACCAGTCGCAGCCGCCGTTACAGCCGGCCTCTCCACTGCCTGCTCCTTCTCCTTACACTAAGCAGACCGGCGGTCTTACAGAGCGTCATGAGCCTTGCCTGTTCGCACTGGTCATCGCGTTCCTCGTCCGCGTCCTCCTCCTATCCCCGGCACCCACGCTATGGCACTTCGTCCTTCCTCTGTTCCACTGCGTGTTCCTCCGCCGCCTCCTCCTGAGTCCTCTCTTCCTGCCGTCCCTGACCCTGCGTCTGACCTCGCTTGTGCTTCCACTCCCATTGTCTCTCGTCTCCTCGCCACTGTTGTCAATGACCCTTCTTTTGAGTCCACTGCTGCGTCTGCCCTCGTTGCTGAGCTAGTTGGCTTTGCTGTTGCCTGTCGTCTAGACTACGCCACTGCTCTTGTTGCTGAGTCTGAGTTTGCCAGTCCTCCGTCCGTCGGGGGTGAGTGTGCTCTGGGCAC